GATCAGAATGATTTAGTTTCCCTGAACGTAGCTAAATTTTGTTATACTGTCTGCAAAACTAGGCAGATTTTGACTGCCCACTGATGATCCCACCTATCAGTAAATGTATTATCATGTTCTGCTCACTTTATTTAATGTATTTTTAATGTCCTTCAATGTATTTCAATGTATTTTTATTGTAATTCTGGTCTGTGACCATAATAAAGATGATGATGATGATGATGATGATGATGATGATGATGATGATGATGATACTATACTGTAGAACAACTGGAAGTCTCTTTGTGCTCTGATCCAACAGGCTGGCCTTTCAACCAGGTGATCTGTACCATGAGCGGCCTCATTCAGGGAACATCTGTCTCTGCTTCTGTCTTTACCCTAGTGGCTATTGCCATGGACAGGTAGGTCGGTTAACACCTTGTGGATCTGTGATGAAGGAGGAAGGAGGAAGAGGGCAGGGACATCTGTGGGGAACAAAAAAGTCAAGAACGGGCCCATGACTATGCAACTGAAGACACATAAAAGAGGAGCGTGGCTTCAATCATGTGATTGCGTTTGCCATCTTGACTTTTTGGATACCATGCCATGGACACCCACAAAATAAGCCTTGTTTGGATCTGGGTAGAGCTGAGGTGCCAAACCTGAGCTTTGACCCCAGAGAGAGAATTGTGTGTTTGAACATTTGGGTGTGTGTCCATCTGTAACTGTGGGCATTCATACGGTGTATCACTGGTTTCATACAATGCACTTAGACAATTGTCTTAGTATGCTGGGAGAATCAGGCCATCACATTAAGCCACAACATGGTTGATTTCTTTGGTCACTGTTAAACTCAGCAAGTATGTTAACTGGGTTTAACTTTCAATAAGCACTGTGTGTGAGCTGAACCTGTGTGTGGTGTGTGTGTGTGTGTGTGTGTGTGTGGACTAGAAGTGGTACCCACATCTCTCTTATGTCCACCACATTCTGTGCTAATGCTGTTTAGCAATTTTTGGAGTTGAAGTCCAAATCCTGAAACAGGTACCAGGCTGGGGAAAAGTTAATACAGATTAGTTTTGCTTCTGCTAATTCGGTTTCCACCTCTACCTCCTCCAGATTCCACTGCATTGTTCTGCCTTTCCGAGAGAGGCTCAGTCTTCCAAAGGCTGCAGTGATTATTATTGTGGTGTGGTCGCTCTCCATAGCTATTATGTGCCCTTCAGCCATCATGCTCACCGTTGGTCGCTTGGAAGACCACTACATGGTGCTTGGTAATGGCAAGAATACCACGTACCCCCTCTATACCTGCTTTGAAGCTTGGTCAGACAACAGCATGAGAAAGCTCTACACCACTATTCTCTTTGTCCATATCTATTTGGTGCCCTTGACCCTCATTGTCTTCATGTATGGAACGGTTTGCCTAAAGCTTTGCAGTTCTACTGTGCCAGTCCCTGAATATCTCTCTTGTGCTGGCAGAACCAATGGTACCTCCAAAAAGAGAATCAAAGTCATCAAGATGCTAATCTTGGTTGCTCTCCTCTTCATGATCTCCTGGTTACCTTTGTGGACTCTAATGCTTCTGGTGGATTACGTGGATTTGGCTGACAATCATCTGAACTTGC